CTGGATTATACATGTGGGCCCTAAAGGAAATCACCTGTATCCCTGTAAGAAGAAGTCAGAGAGAGATTGGCTCACAGAGGAGGGGAAGGCAAAGCAGTTATGGAGACAGAGATTGGAGTGATGCAATTACCAAAAATGGAACAAGCAAGCAATAATGGAGCCGATCCTACAGCCTCCAAAGGGATCACCACTAATTTGGCATGGTGAAACTGACTTTGGATGCTTAGCGTTTGGAACTGTGAGAGAATAACTTTCTGTTCTTTTAAGCAACCAAGCTTTTAAGTATTGATTCTGGTTTGGGGGAAGAGGAAAAACAAGACCATTATGCTTGGAGTGTTCTGTAGTGCCACGAAGTAAAGAAATGCTCAAAGAACAGAAGGCTCGTGCTATGTCAGGGAGACAAAGGAACCAACTGAAAAAGTTTCACATGGTGAAAACTGGAATAATTAGAGCAAAAAAACAACCTAGGGTTGGATTATAGCCCAAGGTATAAATGTACGAGAACACACTAATGAAAATACATGACTAAGTAAATAATAAGTCAGGAAGAAGAGACAAATCTCACTAACAGAATTCTTAAACTGTTAAAACATTGCCACCTCTAGGAGGTGGGGCTTAGTTCCACAACATCTGGAGTTCAGTAAGCTTGACTTAGTGACTTATTTCAAAGAATATAATTTAGTCACAACCTGAAAGTAGAGAGCTATTTTATTTGGTGGGGATGTTTAGGACTCAGAGCCCGGGGGATGGCATCTCAGTAGCTCTGAGAAAACTGCTCCAAGGAGGCAGGAGAGGAACTCAGGCTACATACAAACAAAGGCTATATATGCAACAAAGGGAGCAGGCAGTCTGAACATCAAAGATCTGGTATCAAGTTAAGGAATTTAGCATTCTACATATGGGAAGATGCAAGCTTTTGGCTTCCGGAATTCATTCCTTTCATATGCACTTCTGCTATCTGGGGCCAATCCTGTTTCCTGGCTCACCCTACCTACGGGGTGGTGGATGTGGAGATGGCTGCTTCTTGCCTGCCCCCAGCTGCTCAGCAATCACCCTGGGGGGTGGAGGCATCTGCTGATCCCAGCTTGGGGAGCCCTCATTCTCATTTGGAGGCCAGAAATCGCTGATGGCTGTGACATTTCTTGCTTATCGATATGGCAGGAGATATTTTCATTTCACCATAAAAAGTGAAAAAAATAACATTGCAATAGAAAGATTCACCTTCTACTACCTGCTCCTATGTATTTAGTTTTCTTCAGTTCAGTTCAGTTCAGTCACTCAGTCGTGTCGGACTCTTTGCAAACCCATGAATCGCAGCACACCAGGCCTCCCTGTCCATCACCAGCTCCCGAAGTTTACTCAAAGTCAGGCCCATCGAGTCGGTGATGACATCCAGTCATCTCATCCTCTGTCATCCCCTTCTCCTCCTGCCCCCAATCCCTCCCAGCATTAAAAATGAAGTCTGACACTGTTTCCATTGTCTCCCCATCTATTTCCCATGAGGTGATGGGACCAGATGCTTTAAGCTAAAGTTTTCACCCTTTTCTTTCACTTTCATCAAGAAGCTCTTTAGTTCCTCTTCACTCTCTGCCATGAGGGTGGTATCATCTGCATATCTGAGGTTATTGATATTTCTTCCAGCAATCTTGATTCCAGCTTGTGCTTTCTCCAGCCCAGTGTTTCCCATGATGTACTCTGCATATAAGTTAAATAAGCAGGGTGACAATGTACAGCCTTGACGTACTCCTTTTCCTAGTTGGAACCAGTCTGTTGTTCCATGTCCACTTCTAACTGTTGCTTCCTGACCTGCGTAAGTGAGATCATGCAGCAATTTTCTTCCCAGTTCTCATTTATTTCACTTAGTATAATGTCCTCTGGGTATATTTATGTTGCTGGAAAAGGCACGATCTCCTTTTTTAAGGCTGACTATTATTCAATTACATGTATATATACCACAATCTCTTTATCCTTGTATCCTTCAGAGACACTTAGATTGCTTCCTGATCTTGGCTATTGTGAATAATGATGTGAAATACACACATAGAAAACCAAGTAACTATGTGAAAAAATGTTTATGTTGATTACATTGACAGCGACAATCATTTCACTACAAAATATCATGTTGCACTCAAATACATGCAGCTGTTATTTTTTACATTTTAGCAAATAAGTAATATAGGATATGGAGAAAACTGGGTAAGGGTTTATTAGTTTCATATGGCTTCTATTTCAGATTACATATTTTTATTGTCTATTTCACTTATCTCCACTCGAATCTGTACTATTTACTGCCTTCTTTAAATTTTGGTTTTAGTGAGCACTTCTTTTCCCTAGAGATCTTTACTCATTCCTGAAATAAACACTCACAGCTGTAAGGATCTCTATGAACACTGTTTTTGTTAACTATTAAATATTTGATATGTAATGTTTTCATTTTTATTTGTCTTAATCTATTTTTTATTTCTCTTTATTTGTAATCACTAAACACTAGAACCAATGTGATGTCTCTGGCACTACTGGTAAAGAGCCCAACTGCCAATCCAAGAGATGCAAGAATTCGATCCCTGGGTTGGAAACATCCCCTGGAATAGGAGATAGCAATCCACTCCTGTATACTTGATTGGAAAATTCCATGGACAGAGGGGCCTGGCAGGCTACAATCTGTAGGGCTGCAAAAAATCAGACATGAGTGAAGCAACTTAGCATGCATGCAACAATGAGGAGCTGATGAAAATGGAATACAACTTAAAAAATTCCACTGATAGTCAAGTTAACAACATTGATGGATATTAATTGCATTATAGTGAGTGAAAGAAACAAGACTCAAAGACCAAATATGCTAGAATTCTAGTTAAGGATATTCTTGCAAAGGCAAAGTTTGTACACAAGGCATTTGTGTACCCTCTAGGGGCCGAGGGTAGAAGGAGTGGGTCAGAAAGAGCTACAGGTTTTGTTTACATGATAGAAGAGTTTTATATATTGATTGCAGTAACACATAACCATATACATTAGGCCAAATTTTAAAAACTATATACAAAAAGTGTAGATTTTAATATTTGTGAATTATGTATTTAGAAAAACTCAAGAGGAAAGAACAAGTAACACCAAAATATGCACACATACTCATGTGCAATAAGGTCCCCACGGGGTGTTCAGTTACTTCTTCCCTGGGAAGGTGGGCTGAGGAGCTGTAGATGGTCCCATGGGGGCATCCCCAGAGAGAACCACGTCTCTGTAACTCATTCCTGGTTCCCTGCACCAGCCTCTGACATACCAACAACACTCCACGCAGCATCATTTTAGAGGGGCCTGACTGCATGCCAAGCTCCTCGGTCATCGTACACTCACCCGAAAGTTAATCATCGTCATTGCAGCCAGGTCTCCCTCCTCCCTGAGGAATTGCTACGAGCCTACAACCATGGCCAAGGAAATCACCTCTATGTAAAAATTATGCCGCCTTTCCCTTATTTGCTACTTATAGAGACTAGATCTATAAATTATGTGAGAGAAATTATTTATTGCGTTATTCTTACAAATAAGAAGAGGTTAAGTGACTCCTTCCAAGGCACAACAAGAATTGATAATGGGTTTGAAATTTGAACCCAGGCTCCTCTGTCTTTGTTAGTTTTTTCCTCCATATTTCTCTGCTTTAGAGAATTTGAAACCTTTTGACCACTACCTAAAACATAGACCCTCTTTCATTATTGATGAACTATTTTATGGCTGAATTTCTCACTTCACCCTCACTATTCGAAATCAGTTGTCCCGTCTCATCAAGGATCAAGGTAAGCTATTATATTCCATGTGTATCAATGTGTGTGTGCGCTCAGTCTCTCCATCATGTTTGACTCTTTGCAACCCCATGGACTATAACCTGCCAGCTTCCTCTGTCCAAGGAATTTTTCAAGTGAGAATACTGAAGTAGTTGCTATTTGACTTTCCAGGGGATCTTCCTAACCCAGGGATTTTTAGTAAAAAGTGCACTCCATGTAAAAGGTGTGGGGAAACTATACACACTGTGAATTATTAGAGCAAAGAAACAGATGTTTTGAATATTTTTATAATATAAGTAAAACCTGGAGTATAAATGTCAAAACTTTGGTTAGTAAGGGATTTGTTGATAATTATGAATCTTACTGCTTCCTGAATAAGTGAAAGTGAAAGTCACTCAGTCGTGTCTGACTTTTTGTGACCCCATGTACTATACGGTCCATGGAATTCTCTAGGCCAGAATACTGGAATGGGGAGCCATTCCCTTCTCCAGAGGATTTTCCCAACCTAGGAATTGAACAGGGGTCTCCTGCATTGCAGGTGGATTCTTTNCAACTCCCGGAGTTTACTCAAACTCATGTCCATTGAGTCGGTGATGCCATCCAGCCATCTCATCCTCTGTTGTCCCCTTCTCCTCCTGCCCTCGATCTTTCCCAGCATCAGGATCTTTTCCAATGAGTCAACTCTTCGCATCAGGTGCCCAGAGTATTGGAGTTTCAGCTTCAGCATCAGTCCTTTCAATGAACACCCAGGACTGATCTCCTTTAGGATGGACTGGTTGGATCTCCTTGCAGTCCAAGGGACTCTCAGGAGTCTTCTCCAACACTACAGTTCAAATTTCTTTGGCACTCAGCTTTATTTACAGTCCAACTCTCACATCCATACATGACCACTAGAAAAACCGTAGCCTTGACTAGACAGACCATTGTTGACAAAGTAATGTCTCTGCTTTTTAATGTGCTGTCTAAGTTGGTCATAACTTTCCTTCCAAGGAGTAAGCATCTTTTAATCCCAAGGGTAGGTGGGTTCTTTACCACTAGTGGCCACATGCACAAATTTAAATGAAAAGCTCTTATCATTAAATCAAGATACTTTTGAAGTACAAATTATTCATGACATATTACACAAGGTAATTAGGCACTTCCACTTCAGTACAGTTTATTATTTTGGGGGTCACTTTTCCCTTCATTTCTCATTGCTACAGGTCATCTCATGATTCCCGAATAGCTCAAATGGAGAACAGGACGGAAGTGACTGGGTTCATCCTCCTCGGGCTGTCCAGCGCCCCCGAACTGCAGAGCCTGCTGTGTGTCATGTTCGCTGTCATTTACCTCGTCACTCTGGTCGGAAACCTGGGAATGATGACACTGATTCTCCTGGACTCCCGTCTGCACACTCCGATGTACTTTTTCCTCAGTAACCTGTCTCTGGTGGACTTTGGCTACTCCTCGGCAGTCACTCCGAAAGCCATGGCTGGGTTACGTACAGGAGACAAGTTCATCTCCTACAATGCATGTGCCGCTCAGATGTTCTTCTTCGCCGCCTTTGCCACTGTGGAAAATTATCTTTTGGCCTCAATGGCCTATGACCGCTATGCAGCCGTGTGCAGACCTCTGCATTATACCACAACCATGACGATAAGTGTGTGTGCACATCTGGCCATAGGGTCCTACATCCGCGGGTTCCTAAATGCCTGCTTCCATGTTGGAGACATATTCAGTCTTACTTTCTGTAAGTCCAACACGGTCCATCATTTCTTCTGTGATGTTCCAGCTGTCCTGGCTCTCTCTCGCTCTGAAAAACACATTAGCGAGGTGGTTCTGGTTTTTCTGTCGAGCTTTAATGTCTTTTTTGCTCTTCTGGTTATACTGATTTCCTACCTGTTCATATTTGTGAACCTCTTGAAGATGTACTCAGCTCGGGGTCACCAAAAGGCTTTGTCCACCTGCGCTTCCCACCTCACTGCTGTCTCGATCTTCTATGGGACCGTCACCTTCATGTACGTACAGCCCAGCTCCAGCCATTCCATGGACACAGACAAAGTGGCCTCTGTGTTCTATGCTGTGGTCATCCCCATGCTGAGCCCCGTGGTCTACAGCCTGCGGAACAAGGAGGTCAAGAGTGCATTCAAGAAGGCAGTTGAGAAGACAGATGTTTCTACAGGGCTGGGATGTTAACACTGTAGTGTGGACAGCACCTTATTTCACTCCTCTCAGGCCTTCCCCGTGTAGCTTGTTGCTCTCCAAGTGCACACCACATTTACATTTTTGAGGGGGCATCTTTATCTCTTTAAAAATCTGTCATCCCATAAAAAATATAACATATTAAAAAATCTAAAATCTGAATGAGAATGACTAATGGGAAGCTTTAGAAATGTTAGGACCTGCTTGTCAAAACTTATTGATGCTATTTGATTTATTTACCTGTTTCATTTACATTTGGTTGACTACCTGTCAATGCAAACATACATGCTAATTCAGGAGTACAGTCAAGCCCATAAACAAAGGCGCAGTTGTGTGTCTCATGTGGGCACGCACACGCTGGAAAGGGAAATTTGTCAAAGGTAACTGAAATGTGGCTGGCATAAGAAAGAACAAAATAATGCCATCTGCAGCAGCACGGACAGACCTGGAGATGGTCACCCTGAGTGAAGTCAGTCAGAGAAAGACAGACATTTGATATCACTTGTATCTGGAATCGAAAAAAAACAGTAAAACAGATTTACTTACAAAACGAAACAGGTTCACAGACTTTAAAAGCAAACTTATGGTTACTAGGAGGGAAGGGGGAGGGGAAGGATAAACTGGTCAATTGGAACTGACATATACACACTACTACATGTAAAATAGATAGCTTATAAGAACCTACTGTATAGCACAAGGAACTCTACTTAATATTCTGTAATGACCTATATGGGAAAGAATCTACAAAAAATGGACATGTGTATATGCATAACTGATTCACTTTTCTGTATAACAGAAACTAACAAAATATTGTAAATCAACCATACTCCAGTAAAACTTCTTTTAAATGAAAAAATGGACTGTGGCTAGTTTTTAATAAAAATAATTTTAGCAGTTATTTGACATTAAACATAAAATTATGTCTATGTGTGGTTATTTCTTTTGTTGAATAACTGTTTTGTGATTCTGAATAGGAGGTAAATCATTATTTTAAATGAAATTATTTGTTCTTTTGGCACATTTTATTAAGAGATACATAAATATCTTGAATTAATATTTCTTCTTGACTAAATCACAACACATTCACACTACAATTTTCAATAAGAGAAAATAATCAACTCAAATCCATAGCTTACCTAATGGTATTCTACATGCTACTGGTTTGGACAAATGTATAATGAGCTAAATGCATCATTATAATACCATGCAGAGTATTTTCATTTTCTTAAATCTCCTCTTTTTAAATTTAAATTTTATATTGGAATATGAAGCCAGTGATAAAGAATCTGCCTGCCAATGCCGGAGGTTCAGTGGACATGGGTTCAATCCAGGGAAGATCACCTGGAGGAGGAAATGACAACCCACTCCAGTATTCTTGCCTGGAAAATTTCATGGACGGAGAAGCCTGGCAGGCTACAGTCCATGGATGTGCAAAGAGTTGAAAATGACTGAGCTACTGGACACACACATAGTTGATTTACAATATTGTGTTAGGTTTTGGTGTTCAGAAAAAAAGATTCAGTATATACACGTTCTTTCTCAGATTGTTTTCCTACATAATTTATCACAGAATATTGAGTAGAATTGCAGGGCTATACAGTAGGTCCTTGTTGATTATCTGCTTCACGTATATTAGTGCATTCATACTAAGTTGTTTCAGTCATGTCTGATTCTTTGTGACCCCATGGACTGTAGCCCACCAGGTTCCCCTGTCCATGTGATTTTCCAGGCAAGAATACTGGAGTGGGTTGCTATGACCCCCTCCAGGGGATCCTCCCCACCCAGGGATTGAACCTTTGTCTCTTACGTCTCCTGCATTGGCAGGCAGGTTCCTTGCTTCTAGCACCACCTGGGAAGCCCCATAGATAGTAGTGTGTGTATGTTCATCCCAAACTCCTAATTTATTCCCCCACTCCACTTTTACATTTTGATAACTGTAGTTTGTTTTCAAAGTTTGTAAGTTGGTTTTGTGTTGGGAGCCGCTGGGACGTGCCCAGGCCGTGACAAGGTCACAGGATGAGGAAGGAGCCTGCAAGGCAGCTCTTCTCCTCGAGGGTGTCCCAGGGGCCCGATATGTCCCTTTCCTCTTTGTGTCTTACTGTTTTGGGGCTTTCTATTAATTTTTGGAAATGTAACATATAGTGATCCGGCCTCCCTGGAAAAGTCCAAGCCTATTTAGAAATGCTCATGATTGCTCTGGCTCAGGACACAACCATAAACATCAGGTCAAAAAGGAAAAGGCCACAGGCACAGTTTGGCTGCTTGCTTAAAGATTATAATGTTCTAGAATAGAAAAGGGTAGAGGCATTTAGATTTAGAAGTAGATATTCTGCTTCAGTTTACTTGCTCCTTGGTTGAGAGGGTTTTCATTATTGCTATTTCCTTGCTGCTATTTGTCCATTGTTTCCCTTCCTTTAAGCAACATGGAGATTATGGGTATTTTTGTAGAGTTAGGAAATTGGGTACACAGGATTTCAATAGAAGATTTATATTAACCAGCTTCACTGCCATTACCTCACTATTAATAGAAGTGTTTTGCTGCTTCATAGTTAATCACTGTAGACTGTAATTTTAGGTAAAGAAAACTATCAGGGTTTTTCACATGGTACTATTCTCAGAAATGTCAAACATGTTTGCGTAGCTCTTCCCATGTATTGTTTTATTGTCTAAAGAATTCATACTACACCTGAAATTTGTAGAACATTGTTTTTGTTAGAGTGAAAATGTTAGGCCATTGAGACAAGAAGACTATGTACGGGACATTTAAGAAAAAACCCTGTAATCAGAAATGTTCCAGATGAATGCATAGGGGAAAAACATGGGGAAGAAAAATATTGACAGAAGCACAAACCAATATCTGATGCAATATGTGGTGACATAAGGGGGAGATAACATTCATTCTATAAAAACTGAGCTGTCCTAAAAATAAAAGAAGCTTTTTCTTCCACGCAACCTTCTGTGTGTGCCTGTCTTCTCCTTTGCTGACGCCACTCATCCCTTGGGTACTCCTGGACCCACTGGGACTGGACTGCAGCAGTTTTGTGAACAAGTTCATTACTATAATCATTTTTTAAGATTCCACATGTGAGTGGAATATATATCTTTCTCTGTTTGACTTACTTCACTTAGTATGACAATCTCTAGGTCCAGCCATGTTACTGCAGATGAGATTACTTCATTCTTTTATTAATGATTGAGAAATAGTCTATTGTATATACATACCATATCTTCTTTATCCATTCATCTGTCAATGGATATTTAGATCGTCACCATGTCCTGGCTCCAGAAAAACATCTATTTCTGCTTTATTGACTATGCCAAAGCCTTTGACTGTGTGGATCACAATAAACTGTGGAAAATTCTGAAAGAGATGGGAATACCAGACCACCTGACCTGCCTCTTGAGAAACCTGTATGCAGGTCAGGAAGCAACAGTTAGAACTGGACATGGAACAACAGACTGGTTCCAAATAGGAAAAGGAGTACGTCAAGGCTGTATATTGTCACCCTGCTTATTTAACTTATATGCAGAGTACATCATGAGAAACGCTGGGCTGGAAGAAGCACAAGCTGGAATCAAGATTGCCGGGAGAAATATCAATAACCTCAGATATGCAGATGACACCACCCTTATGGCAGAAAGTGAAGAAGAACTAAAGAGCCTCTTGATGAAAGTGAAAGAGGAGAGTGAAAAAGTTGGCTTAAAGCTCAGCATTCGGAAAACTAAGATCATGGCAACTGGTCCCATCACTTCATGGCAAATAGATGGGGAAACAATGGAAACAGTGAGAGACTTTATTTTTCTGGGCTCCCAAATCACTGCAAATGGTGATTGCAGCCATGAAATTAAAAGACCCTTACTCCTTGGAAGGAAAGTTATGACCAACCTAGATAGCATATTAAAAAGCAGAGACATTACTTTGCCAACAAAGGTCCTTCTGGTTAAGGCTATGGTTTTTCCAGTGGTCATGTATGGATGTGAGAGTTGAACTGTGAAGAAAGCTGAGCACCGAAAAATTTATGCTTTTGAACTGTGCTATTGGAGAAGAGTCTTGAGAGTCCCTTGGACTGCAAGGAGATCCAACCAGTCCATCCTAAAGGAGATCAGTCTGGAGTGTTCATTGGAAGGACTGAAGCTGAAGCTGAAATGCCAATATTTTGGCCACCTGATGCGAAGAGCTGTCTCATTGGAAAAGACCCTGATGCTGGGAAAGATTGAGGGTAGGAGGAGAAGGGGATGCCAGAAGATGAGATGGTTGGATGGCATCACTGACTCAGTGGACATGAATTTGAGTAAACTCCGGGTGTTGGTGATGGACAGGGAGGCCTGGCATGCTGCGTTTCATGGGATTACAAAGATTCGGACACGACTGAGTGACTGAACTGAAATGAACTGAACTGAACATGTCCTGGCTACTGTAAATAGTATCACAATGAACACTGGAGTGCATGTATCTTTTTGAACTATTGTTTTCTCTGAAATATGCCCAGGAGTGGGATTGCTGGATCATGTGTGAGTTCTATTTTTAGCTTTTTGAGGAACCTCCATACTGCTCTCTGTAGTTGTATGAAGTTACATTCCCAATGACGGTGTAGGAGGATCCCCTTTTCTCCACATCCTCTCCGGACTTTTTGATGATGGTCATTCTGACCAGTATGAGAATCTAAAAAACAAACAGCATAAAATGAAAACAAGTTCATAGAGAAATAATTGCTGGCTGCCAGTAGGGTGAGCGTGAGGCTGCAAAAGAGGTGAAGGGAATGAGAGGTACAAACCTCCAGTGATAAAACACAGGAGCCATTTGAATGCAATGTGCAGCATAACGAATATGGTAAATGATATTGTAATAACTTTGAAAAATGACACAGGAAATTTAAATTTAAAAACTTAAATACCAAATGATGGTAAAAATGTGAAATAATTTTAATGCATTGCTGGTAAGAAATTGAAATAGTAGAACACTTCAGAAAATATCTTGGCAATTTTTCATTTAAATAAACACATACTCACCCTATAATTAAGCAACCCATCTCCTAGATATTTATCCAAATGATGTGAATGCTTGTGTTCAAATATCTTAGGCAACTGTTTATATCAGTTTTATTTGTAATCACCAGACCCTTGAACCAACACAAACGTTCCTCAGCTATGAAGTAGGATAAACAACCTGTAATGTTCATTGTGTAGAATCTGATTCTGCAATAAAGATTCCATTATGACACAAGTAATAACATGAGTGAATCTCAAATGCTAAGAGAAAGATTACCAACTCAGAGTACGTGTTCCAGGATAACAGTTAAGGACATTCTTGCAAAGGCAAAATTCTCTGATTGTCAGGGGCAGTGGATAGCAAAATGTGTTTATCCAAAGAAGTTTATAGGAATTTATTCAGGTGATAGTGGCTCTTTGACAGTAAATTTGACAAAAGTCTTAGAACTGTACATTAAAATTTTGGATATTACTGTATGTAAATTATATGTTCATAATAAATTGACCAAAATAACAAGGAAAAAAGAAGCAGCAAAAACGATGTATGTATAATGGAAATAATCAGCATGGTCCCCACAGACAGTTTAATTGCACCTTTCCTGGGAAAGTGGGATGAGAAACTGTAGATGTGCCCATAAGGGAAATTCCTGGAGAGCTCTGCGTCTGTATAACACCCCCCAGCATTAGCCTTTGAAATCCCAGTATCAGTGTGACCTCATTTTAGAGGGATGGCTCTGCGTACTGAACCCATTCAGCCATCATTCATTCATCTGACTATTTATACTTGTCAGTACACAGAAGCTTTATCCCAGAATTTGATATGTACCTGTACCCATAGTCAGGGAAACACTCCAAGATAAAAATGAAATTGACTGGCTCTTAAAAGATAATCTCTTTTGGAATTTGTTATTTACAGGAACAATTCTGTGAATTACATGACAGGTAATCTTACGATGTTTATTGTTCAAAGGAGGAGGAGATAAGGAGACAGAAAGAATGCACAGTAGGTTCAGGAATTAAGTCATGTTAATATTCTTTCTTCCATTTTCCTGCCTTGGAGACTTTGGAATCATAAGAACATTATTGGAAGGAGAGTTCCTCTGACAGTATTTCTGCATCATTCTACAGCTGATAATCTGATTTCCAACTCATTATGCAGAACTGACTTTCCTTCTCTCCCAGCACACAGGTAAGAATGTATACTACATAAACATTTTGAGTTAGAATTGTGATTCATGCCAGAGGAATGGGGAAACTATTCTCACTTTAAGTTATTAGGGAACAAAAGTAAATATTTTCAAGGTTTTCCTAAAATATTGAGGTGAGACTGGGATACAAACATCAAACTTACATCAGTTGAGTTTACTGATACTGAGGAAACCCCATCCTACTTTCCGAAAGATATGAACAGAAAAATAACCTAGATAGATTCTCTGATTGATTAAACGGTAATTTCATCTTGTTCATCAAATATTGGCTTCTCAATGGAGAGAGGAAACAAATCAATACTAACAAATGAACAAAAAAAAAGCCAAAGTGAAGTCGCTCAGTCGTGTCCGACTCTTTGCGACCCCATGGACTGTAGCCCACCAGGCTCCTCCATCCATGGAATTTTCCAGGCAAGAGTACTGGGTGGGTTGCCATTTCCTTCTCTAGGAGATCTTCCTGACCCAGGGATTGACCTCGGTCTCCCGCATTGCAGGCAGACGCTTTACCATCTGAGCCAGCAGGGAAGTCAAAAGCAGAGGTTAAAAAAATCCACATGTTAGTGAGCCCAAGCTTGCTTGGCTTGCCACAAGAAAAGTAAGTGAATCTCAGATGAGGAGTTGGGACTAGGAAGGGACTTTATTTGGAAGCTGGCTGATGGAGAAGACAGCAAGCTAGTGTCTCAAAATAATCATCTTGTCGGTGGCCTGGTGGCCAGGTTCTTTTATGGATCAGAGATTGGGGAGGTGAGGAAAGAAAGTAAAAAGACCAGTTAATTCTTGCAAATATCTCCTAGACTGGCAAGCCTCAGGTAGAAGGACGTGTTCACTTCACTTCCTTAAGTCATTTCATGGCTGGTGTGAAATGGAATATCTCCTGTCATATCAGCTAACAAGGATGCACGTCTACCTGTGATTCTGGCTTGGGGCCAAGACAGTTAGCAGCGTGTGAGGGGCCCTGGCTCTGCACCTGGGGACAGAAAGGACTCAAGACTGTGGCATCTTTCACGGGTGGTCAGGGTCAGGTTATCTCTCTGAGGCAGGCCACTGTGCGTGTCTATAACAACAAAAGCAGCAAAATACGGGTTACAGTCACACAAGCAGATCCAGTGTAAATTCAGAATTAACCCTTCCTGGTTACACTTAAACTGTGACAGTGTCTGGGCTTCCCTGGCGGCTCATAAAAAGAAGCTGCCTGCCAAGTGAATTCTTCAGTGCCATTTCTCTAGATTCCGTATATATGTGTTAGAATACGTTATTTATCTTTCTCTTTCTGACTCAATTCACTCTGTATAAGAGGTTCTAAGCTCATCCGCCTCATTAGAACTGACTCAAATGTGTTCCTCTTTATGGGTGAGTAATATTCCATTGTGTATCTATCCACACTTCTTTATCCATTCATCTGTTGATGGACATCTAGGTTGCTTCCCAGTTCTAGCTATTGTTAACAGTGCTGCAATGAACAAAGGGAGAAACAGACATAGAGAACAGACTTATGGACGAGGGCAGAGGGGAGCAGAGAGTGAGATGTATGGATAGAGTAACATGGGCACTTATATTACCATGTGTAAAATAGACAGCCAACAGAAATTTGCTGTGTGGCTCAGAAAACTCAAACAGGGGCTCTGTATCACCCTAGAAGGGTGGGGTGGGGAGGGAGATGGGAGGGAGGTTCAAAAGGGAGGGGATAGATGTATACCTACGGCTGATTCATGTTGAGGTTTGACAGAAAACAGCAAAATTCTGTAAAGCAATTATCCTTCGATAAAAAATAAATGAAAAAAAAAAAAAGCTGCCTGCCAATGCAGGAGATGTGGGTTCCGTCTCTGGGTCAGGAAGATCCCTGGAGAAGGAAATGGCAGCCCACGTCAGTGTTCTTGCCTGAGAAATTCCGTGGACAGAGGAGCCTGCGGGGCGCCAAGTGTTGAACACATCTTAGCGACTGAACAACAGCAGCAACATCAAAGTGTCGAAAAGGAAGTAACAAAACCCAAACTGCATGTTGACCTTTCCTTCATAATCTCACGCTTATTATTACTAGCATATGTACACATGTTAGCAGTGAATGGCTAAAAGCATAGATTTTTTATTTGACCCAAAGTGGATTTAACTATTGAATCTTGACTCTCATACTAGCTGTGTAATTTTAGAGCAACACATAACTTTTTAAGTCTTTAATTTCCTAATGGTAAAGCAGAAATCATAATGCTACTTACCTTACACACACACACACACACACACAACACTCACTTATCTATAAAGAACTTGTTGGTAATAGAACATAGTATATGCTAAAAGTGGTCATGGGTGTTTGGGTTGGTAAACATAATATCTTCAAGGTACAGGCTTGTGAAATGAAGTTGCAAAAGTTTTAGAAGGAAGATGTTCAGTTGTTCAGTCCTGTCTGACTCTTTGTGACCCCATGGACTGCAGCACGCCAGTCCTCCCTGTCCATCATAAATTCCCAGAGCTTACTTAAACTTATGTCCATCACATCAGTGATGCCATCCAACCATCTCATCCTCTGTCATCCCCTTCTCCTCCTGCCTTCAATCTTTCCCAGCATCAGGGTCTTTTCATATGAGTCAGCTCTTCCCATCATGTGGCCAGAGGATTGGAGTTTCAGCTTCAGCATCAGTCCTTCCAATGAATATTCAGGACTCATTTCCTTTAGGATGGACTGGTTGGATCTCCTTGCAGTCCAAGGGACTCTCAAGAGAACCAACACCACAGTTCAAAAGCATCAATTCTTCGGCGCTCAGCTTTCTTTAGAGTCCAGCTCTCATATCAAATTCTTGCATGACTACTGGAAAACTCATAGCTTTGACTAGACGGACCTTTGTTGGCAAAGTAATATCTCTGCTTTTTACTGTGCTGTCTAGGATGGCCATAGCTTTACTTCCAAGAAGTAAGCATCTTCAATTTCATGGCTACAGTCTCCATCACAGTTGGAGCCCCCAGAAATAAAGTCTCTCACTGTTTCCATTGTTTTCCCATCTATCTGCTATGAAGTGATGGGACTGGATGCCATGATCTTAGTTTTCTGAATGTTGAGCATTAAGCCAACTTTTTCACTCTCCTCTTTCACTTTCATCAAGAGGCTCTTTAGTTCTTCTTCACTTTCTGCCATAAGGGTGGTGTCATCTGCATATCTGAGGTTATTGATATTTCTCCCGGCAATCTTGATTCCAGCTTGTGCTTCTTCCAGCCCAGCATTTCTCATGATGTACTCTGCATATAAGTTAAATAAGCAGGGTGACAATATACAGCCTTGACGTACTCCTTTTCCTATTTGGAACCAGTCTGTTGTTCCATGTCCAGTTCTAACTGTTGCTTCCTGACCTGCATACAGGTTTCTCAAGAGGCAGGTCAGGTGGTCTGGTATTCCCATCTCTTTCAGAATTTTCCACAGTTTATTGTGATCCACACAGTCAAAGGCTTTGGCATAGTCAATAAAGCAGAAATAGATGTTTTTCTGGAACTCTCTTGCTTTTTCGATGATCCAGCGGATGTTGGCAATTTGATCTCTGGTTCCTCTGCCTTTTCTAAAACCAGCTTGAACATCTGGAAGTTCACGGTTCACGTATTGCTGAAGCCTGGCTTGGAGAATTTTGAGCATTACTTTACTAGCGTGTGAGATGAGTGCAATTGTGCGGTAGTTTGAGCATTCTTTGGCATTGCCTTTCTTTGGGATTGGAATGAAAACTGACCTTTTCCAGTCCTGTGGCCACTGCTGAGTTTTCCAAATTTGCTGGCATATTGAGTGCAGCACTTTCACAGCATCATCTTTCAGGATTTGAAATAGCTCAACTGGAATTCCATCACCTCCACTAGCTTTGTTCGTAGTGATGCTTTCTAAGGCCCACTTGACTTCACATTCCAGGATGTCTGGCTCTAGGTGAGTGATCACACCATTGTGATTATCTGGGTCATGAAGATCTTTTTTGTACAGTTCTTCTGTGTATTCTTGCCACCTCTTCTTAATATCTTCTGCTTCTGTTAGGTCCATACCATTTCTGTCCTTTATTGAGCCCATTTTTGCATGAAATGTTCCCTTGGTATCTCTAATTTTCTTGAAGAGATCTCTAGTCTTTCCCATTCTATTGTTTTCCTCTATTTCTTTGCATTGATCACTGAGGAAGGGTTTCTTATCTCTCCTTCCTTTTCTTTGGAATTCTGCATTCAAATGGGCATATCTTTCCTTTTCTCTTTTGCCTTTCTCCTTCTTTTCTTAGTTATTGGTAAGGCTTCCTCAGACAACCATTTTACCTTTATGCATTTCTTTTTCTTGGGTCTTGATCTCTGCCTCCTGTACAATGTCATGAACCTCCATCCATAGTTCTTCAGGTACACTGTCAGATCTAATCCCTTGAATCTATTTGTCACTTCCACGTATGATCATAAGGGATTTGATTTAGGTCATACCTCGGTTAGTAGTTCGCAGAAGACAGATGCCCTTCCAAAGGCTTCCAACAGAAGAAAAATATTTAAAATGTTGTTCCTACACCAGAAGAGATTCTAGTAAAATACTTTACAGCATGGTGCTCTTCACCAAAATAGTGTTGGGGCGAAGAACCAATTCTGACTCCCTGCTGAAACTGTTTCTTTGACTTGTTTTCACTGATTTTGTTACTACAATCACACATAAAGTCCTGCCTCGGAGAACCCTGCCCGTCTGACTGACTCAAACTGAAGTGCCTTTGTTCAGGACCCTGTCTATCTGTGAATGGCAAGAAGGAAGAAATTAACCCATCCCCTGCCTGAGGCTTGCCATTCTTAGAGATGGTTATAAGATTAACGGCCTTCTTATTTTGCTTCCTCACCTCTCCCCCACCTCTGATCTATAAAGGAACTTGGCATTCAAACCCCAGTAAGATGATTGTTTTGAGACATTTGTTTGCCATCCTCTCAGTCAGCTGGCTTTCCGAATAAAGTCATATTCCTAGCCTCAGCACCTCATCTCTCAGATTCATTGGCCTATGGTGTGGTGAGCAGAGGAAGCTTGGAGTCAGTAACAGCAGCTCTAGAGAATGAAGACAGCCCGCAAACAAGGGACTTTTCCATCCTTGATGTCTGTGGTTCTGCTTTGAGATGACAGTAATAAGAGAAAGAACGAGTTTTTTAAAAGGGACTGTTTCAAGTAAGGTATGTATTTTGAGGAAGAAATTAAACAAAAGAATGGGTCACATGCAATTGCTGAAGCAGTCCATCATACAGGCAAAGCAAGGATAGCCAGAGAAACACTGAGAGAACAGAACAGCCTCAGTGGCCCTCGTGTGTGAAAAAAGGCAGACTGAAGGGGAAGACTGTACCGCTAAAACTTGTGCATTCCTGAAGCCCTCCAGGTCACCACCCAATTTTCACAAACCAACACATCGATAAACATCCCATCCTCATAGCAGTGTGATAACTATTACTCTTAGACTGTGCTAACCATCCAGAATTTTATTTTTTAATGTATTACTTTATTTAATTTTCACAACAATACTGTAAAGTAGGGTCATAATGGCCCTAATTCTGCAGATGGAAATACGAGCTTCAGGTGAGTTAGGTTAGTTGCCCCCAGGTAGTGAAAGGTAGGGCTCGTATCTACCTCTTCTCTGACCATAGTGCTGCATGCATAGTGCCGTCTTCCTCTCAGAACTGCCTGCTGGCGGTACAGCCCCTGCCGCTCCAGTTATCGCATCACATACACTCTGCCCGTACTTTCAGTTACTTCTCTGAAACATCCAACACTGAGTTCAGACCGATGAAGGCAAAGAGTAACTAGGAACGGAGTTAAACTCAATTTGACTTAAACACAATAAAGGCCATTATTTCGGGAGCCACTCCGTGTGGGTTCAGAGATTGCCTTGGGTCCAAAGCATGCCTTGTTAATTAACACTGATTTTAAAATAAACAAGATTACTCAACCTCTTATGCATTATAATTTAAATGAGGGCAGTATCATATCAACATATGACATCCTTGAAAGGATATAATCAATGTATATTTAGAGTCAGACACGACTTGGTGACTGAACAACAAAAAAGGTGTCTAGAGAAGTTCCCTAACAGAGGAGCAAGGCTTTAACTAGGCTTGGGAAAGAGTGAGTTGGCAGATGCATTTATTCTGGGCTAGTTATTTATCAAGTTAACCTTCTTTTTTAAAGGTTTTGTTTTGCATGTGTACTTTTGGCTGTGCTGGGTCTTCACTGCTGCAGGGCTTTGCTCTGCTTGTGGGGAGCAGGGCTTACCCTCTAGCTGGGGTCCGCGAGCTGTGATGGCAGGCCTTGTGAGCACAGGCCGCAGGGTGTGCAGGCTGCCTCGCGGCCGCCACGGGCCCCGTAGTGAGGTCCCGGGCCGCAGGGCGCAGGCTCAGCACCTTGTGGTGCGTGGCCTTAGCTGCCTGCCTCGTGTGGGATCCGCCTGCATCAGGCATAGAACCTGCGTCTCCTGCACTGGCAGGTGGACTGTTTAACACTGAGCCGCCAGGGAAGCCCCTCTCAAGTCAATTTTCTGTATCTCAGCTTACAAACTCATACACTTTAAAAATTGAAGAGATTATCTGCGAAGACCCTTCAGATTCAACAGCATGTAAATCTCTATGTAATGAATGGACTGAGTCTTGTTGACAAGTGCATCTTTATCTGGAGTACACTGAGATACAAGCTATCACTGTAATAAAGTAATACTGTAGTGGAATATTGTATGTACAGTTTTCAAGTTAAGTTTCTTTGTCTATCACTGATTCTGTTTTCTCATTGCCACAGAGCGCTTTGTAGTTCCCTTCATGATGAAGAACACGACAGGAGTGGCGCAGTTCTTTCTCCTAGGACTAACCAGTGACCCAGAACTACAAGTTCCCCTCTTTGTAATGTTCACCCTCGTCTACCTCGGCACTCTGATTGGGAACTTGGGGATCATTACATTGATTCTGCTGGACTCGCATCTCCACACGCCCATGTACTTTTTCCTCAGTAACCTGTCTCTGGTGGATCTTTGTTATTCTTCGGCTGTCACCCCCACAGTCCTGGCTGGATTCACTCCAGGAGACAAGGTCATCTCCTACGATGCGTGTGCGGCTCAGATGTTCTTTTTTGTAGCCTTTGCCACTGTGGAAAATTACCTGTTGGCCTCGATGGCTTATGACCGCTACGCAGCTGTGTGCAAACCCCTGCATTACACCACCACCATGACCACAAGTGTGTGCACTGGTCTGGCGACAGGCTCCTATGTCTGTGGATTCCTGAATGCCTCCATCCACACTGGAGACACATTCAGTCTCTCTTTCTGTATGTTCAATGTGGTCCATCACTTTTTCTGTGATATTCCAGCAGTCATGATTCTCTCTTGTTCTGACAGACATGTTAGTGAACTGGTTCTAGTTTATGTAGTGAGCTTCAATGTCTTTTTTGCTCTCCTGGTTATCTTGATATCCTATATATTCATATTTATCACCATCCTAAAGATGCCCTCATCCGCAGGGTACCAGAAGGCTTTGTCCACCTGTGCCTCCCACTTCACTGCCGTATCCATCTTCTATGGAACGATTATCTTCATGTACTTACAGCCCAGCTCCAGTCATTCCATGGACGTGGACAAAACGGCCTCTGTGTTCTATGCTGTGATCATTCCATTGCTGAACCCTCTGGTCTACAGCCTGAGGAACAAGGAGGTAAAGAGTGCATTTATGAAGGTGTTTGTAGAGGCAAAATTGTCTCTAGGATTCTGATTTCAACACTGTAAAATGATATCCTGACCAATAAAACTCTCTTGTCCTGAAAAAAAAAAAAGAAGAAGAAATACTATGTCCAGAAATATAATACCTGAACAAGAATGACTAAGATGTCTTGTGGCTGGCTGGCTAGTTTAAAACCTTATTAAGGACATTGGTTTATTCGTTTATCCTGCATGCTTTTTTAACTAAAATATTTACTTCATGTATTAGAATATACATATGTGTGTAATAGATTTCTATTTCTTTGGTTAAATGCTAAATTGTTAATTTAGCATTTAATTTAAATGTTAAATTTGAAAATAAAATGTTTTACTATTGAATACAAGTATATGATTTGGGGGATCACAAGAGATATCAAGAGATTTATCAAGAGATAAATAAAGCATTTTAAATACATTAATATTTCTATCTTGACTGAGACATTTGATAGAACTAACATGCTCATTTTTATGATTTTCAAAGGATAATGTAGCCAGAGTGTAAGAAAAGTGGGGAAAATGAAAAGTATTTAAAACCCAAGAGTTTTTTGAAATGTTTATTTATTTATTTGACTTAGCTGTGGGTCTTAGTTGCAGCAGACTGGATCTTTGGTTGTGGTGCATGGGATCGATAGTTGTGGCATGTGGGTTTAATTGTCCTGTGGCATTTGGGATTTAGTTCCCTGACGATGGAATAAACCCACATCCCCTGCATTGTGAGGCAGATTCTTAACCACTGGACCACCAGAGAAGCCCCTTAAACACAAGATTTTGATGCTGAATATGCTTGCTTATACTAGAGTTTCACTTCTAGATCCTCTTTTTACAGAGGTAGGAAGTATACATATACAAGGTTTGTATGTATTCATCAGTTCAGTTCAGTCGCTCAGTTGTGTCTGACTCCTTGTGACCCCATAGACTGCAGCATGCCACGAGTCTCTGTTCATCACCAACTCCTGGGGCTTGCTCAAACTCATGTCCACTGAGTTGTTGATGTCATTCAACTATTTTATCCTCTGTCATCCCCTTCTCCTCCCTTCAATTTTTCCCAGCATCAGGGTCTTTTTCAATGAGTCAGTTCTTTGCATCAGGAGGCCAAAGTATGTATTCATAATTACACTTATTTCTCTACCTATCCATCATACCCATATCAATTAAACATGAGTACTTACTAATATCTCTGACTCTATTTCATCCCCTTTCTTATCTGTAACTTCCATCTCTGACAGTGAGAAATTTGACTCCCAACAATTTCCATTCATTAATTTATTCTTGTGACTCCAGTTTTTAAAAAAAGCAGTTCATGTTGGTGGGAATGCAAACTAGTACAGCCACTATGGAGAATAGTGTGAAGATTCCTTAACTGGAAATAGAACTGCCATATGACCCAGCAATCCCACTCCTGGGCGTACACACCAAGGACACCAGATCTGAAAGAGACATGTGCACCCCAATGTTCATCACAGCACTGTTAATAATAGCCAGGACATGGAAGCAACCTAGATGCCCATCAGCAGATGGATGGATAAGGAAGCTGTGGTACATATACACAATGGACTATTACTCAGCCGTTAAAAAGAATACATTTGAATCAGTTCTAATGAGATGGATGAAACTGGAGCCCATTATACGGAGTGAAGTAAGCCAGAAAGAAAAACACCAATATAGTATACTAACGCATATATATGGAATTTAGAAAGATAGTAACAATAACCCTATATGCAAGACAGAAAAAGAGACACAGAGGTATAGAACAGACTTTTGGACTCTATGGGAGAAGGCAAGGGTGGGATGATCTGAGAGAATAGCACTGAAACATGTGTATTATCAATCATGAAACAGATTGCCAGCCCAGGTTGGATGCATGAGACTAGTGCTCGGGGCTGGTGCACTGGGATGACCCAGAGGGATGGGATGGGGACGGAGGTGAGAGGGGGATCGGGATGGGGAACACATGTAAATCCATGGCTGATTCATGTTAATGTATGGCAGAAACCACTATAATACTGTGAAGTAACTAGCCTCCAACTAATAAAAATAAATGAAATAAAAAGAAAAGAAAAGCAATTCAAAAATTGTTGATCTATACTCTCTTGAGGAACAACTTGAGTAATTAAAGAACAGTATTTTATAGATTTTTTTTCATTTTTTTCCCTTGCAATTCCCTATGAGCACACTGTTTTCCAACGTTAGCTTATTTTTCCCCTTCTCTTCAAAGAGGCTAAGTCATTTGTAGTACAATTAATTTTTTTAACAATCTGTGTTCACTTCTGTGATTCTCCTGTGCTCCTGGCCGATTCTTTTAAATTCGTATATATTAAATTTCACTCTATGCTAAGTATAGCTCTATGGGTTTTAACAAACGTAGAGCTGTGTGTTTACCAACCCAGTACCATGGCGCATACTTGCCCACGTGCATGAAGTCACTTCAGTCGTGTCTGACTGCTTGCAACCCTATGGACCACAGCCCGCCAGGCTCCTCTGTCCATGGGATTCTGCAGGCAAGAGTACTGGAGTGAGTTGCCATGACTTTCTCCAGTGGATCTTCCCGGCCCAGGGATCGAATCCGCATCCCTCACGTCTCCTGCACTGGCAGGCAGGTTGTTTGCCACTAGTGCCCCCTGGGAAACACGAAGAATACTAACATTATCTTGAAACTTCCCTTTCATCTCTTCACAGACAACCACTCCCTATGCCCCAGCCCGCGGAATTCATGAAGCTTTTTCCATACCTATGTTATATGGTTGGAATAACACAATATAGAGCCTTTAGGCCTCACTTTTTAAAAAATTCATTTTAGATTCATCCATATTGTTGCCTGAATCACTAATACTCCATTGTATCACTTAATAATCTCTCAATATAATATGGTACGACAGTTTGTTTAATCATTCACTTCTGGAAGAGCATCTGGTTGCTTTCAGTTTGGCAGTTTTTAATAAAACTTTTAAAACATTTAAAAAACAAAACACAAAAATAAAATCTATACACCTATTTTTTCCAGAAAAAAAAAAATAAATAAATAAAACATTTGCATAAAGAGAAATGAAGAACATTGCAAAAAATGTGATTTCAGTTTACATTTAAGTTCTAGTTTGTATTTTTTTTGTGGGGGGGGGGGCTGTGTTATATATGAACTGATGACCATTGAAGCAAAATTTGTCGAAAAAATATATTTTCTCCATTCACTTTCCTTTGCATCTTCCACAAAAATCAGTTGATCACATAGCTGTGGGTCATTTTTGGATATTATAGTCCATTCCATTGATTCATAGGTCCCTCTTTCCCCTAATACCACACTGCTTTACACACTATAGGTTGGGGCTTCCCTGCTAGTCCAGTGGTTAATACTTTGCCTTCCAATGCAAGTGATGCAGGTTTGATCCCTGATCGGTCAGCTAAGATCCCACATACCTTGCAGACAGAAGTAAAAATAAATAAATACTACATATTATAGTAAGTCAAAAAGAGGATGATTTTCATGCTTCTCCTTTATCTTTTTCATAATTATTTTGTCTGCAAGTTTTACAATTCCATATAAATTTGTACTATCATGTCGAAATTTACCCTAGAAAGTTTTCTTTGGTTTCAATGCTGATTGCATGAGGTCCGTAATGCAATCAACTCTAATGCCTCTAATGGCCAAACTCGGGGACCAGTGAGGCAGAGGCAAGCCTGCAGTGCTAAAGTCCACGCGGTCGCAAGGAGCAGGGCGTGACGTGGGGACTGAACAGCGGCATGAACATGGACACCATTACACTCGTTTTCTAAAATTTCATTCCACAGTATTCTGTATTTTTAGCACTTTTAAGACAAATATCTTAAATATACTCAAAGAACTAACTAAAATCTTAGACAATGAACTAGAGGAAATCAAAAGAATAAAGTCTGGATAAATAGAGACAGAAATTATAAAAATTAACCAGATAGAAAATCTGTAGCAATAACCAAGAATAAATGAGGCAGACAGAAGAAAGTAATGGCTCAGATTGCTTGACCTTAAAATCTTAGTATATTTTGTGAGTTTCAAAGAACTTTCATATTCACTCTCACATGGGAGCAGGATAAAAACCTATGAGGTAGGTGGAGAAGGTTTTTTATCTCGTGAATTAAGAAAATCACATCATGGCAGGTCTGTAACCATCACACACAGCTGATTATCAATAGAACTAGGACTGGAATTGGTCAAGTGTTTTCTAGTACAATATTAAACATATCCTTATATATCTAAATTTATTGATCAAAAAGACATTTGTTTCGCTTTACACTTTGGAGTACAAATTAGAGATTTTGGATAACACATTTGCCACTCTTTCTGTATCAAAGGAATACAGAAATTAACTGCTTTCAAAAGTAAGTGTAACCAGATGCACATGTGTTTGAGCCCAATATAGTAACTCACAGAAAGAACTTCGTGGTCACCAGAATGTTCTGACGTATTCTGAAAACTTTCAAGGTGATTTAATAACATGTCACTGATATTTGATTATAGCACTTACCACTATTTGAATGTGGATTTGCAGTTTTTGCTGTCTCTACCCACAAAATAAGGAAAGACTCGTGTCATTTACTTTGTAATAATAATAACAAGCATATCACTTGGTACACAACTGGGATTCAATATGCTTTACTTATATGAATGAATTAAATCAAAGTGATTCAGAATATGCCCTGAGAGTTAGAGGTAGACAAACACTATTAAATTGTGGGCATGTATAAATTTTTCAGTTCAGTTCAGTTCAGTTGCTCAGTCATGTCCGACTCTTTGCGACCCCATGGACTGCAGCATGCCAGGCCTCCCTGTCCATCACCAACTCCTGGAGTTTACTCAAACTCATGTCCATCATGTTGGTGATGCCATCCAACCATCTCATCCTCTGTCATCCCCTTCTCCTCCCACTTTCAATCTTTCCCAGCATCAGGATCTTTTCAAATGAGTCAGTTTTTCACATCAGATGGCCAGAGTATTGGAATTTCAGCTTTAGCCCAGTCTTTTGAATGAATATTCAGGACTCATTTCCTTTAAGATGGACTGGTTGGATCTCCTTACTGTCCAAGGGACTCTCAAGAGTCTGCTCCAACAGCACAGTTCAAAAACATCAATTCTTTGGTACTCAGCTTTCTTTACAGTCCAACTTTCACATTGATACAGGACTGCTGGAAAAATCATAGCTTTGA